CCGGCGGTGCAGGGGGACCTGGCTGCAGAGCCCGAGGTTGGGAGTCGAACACACACACACACACCCCGCACATCCCCGACGGATCGGGGCTGGGCTGGATGATCCCCCGGGCCCCTTCTTCTCTGGGCTTAGCAAGCAAGCCGTGCCCATTTTCATCCCGAGTGGACTTTTCCACGTTTGTCCGCAGCAAAATTAGTTGCTGGAGGTAGAGACGGGCAGTTTCTACTTTTTAGAAAGCTTCTGGGGCGAGGAGGGTGGGCTGCTCTGCTTTTTTCGTGCTGCGCAAAAGATTTCCAGAGCCCGAAATTAGTCATCCAGGGTCGAAAGGTCCTGGAAACCCCTTTGTCCAAGAACCCCGGGAGTCAGGATTTCTCTCTCCTCTTCAGCTGACTATCACAGGCGCTCGTCCTGCTTGAGAAGTGCCACGGAATGAGTGCTTCCCGAGGGCCGAGGGCTCGACCAAGGATCTTTGGGCTCAGTCCGAAAGTTCCAGCCTGCCTCTCTCTTGGTGTGACTACACAACAGCAGCGGGGAAACTACCTGGAACCGGTCTTTGTTGAAGTCCTCTCTTGTAACAGGGCCCACTGGGTTCCCTCAGCTGGTGGGTGGGTGGATTCCCGCTGAGAACCTTCCTTTCGCAACTCCTGCGACTTTAATCCCCCAACAATCTCTAATTGCCCAGTGCTCAACCAAGGGTGTTGTGTTTGCTTGTAAACACTTTCCTAGCTTGTGAGAAGCCTGCCACCCTTCCTGCTGTTACAGGAGCAGCCATGGTGCCTATTGCAGTGGAAGGCAAACTTTTCAGTGGTCACATTCCAGAGGTGCCTGCAATTTTCCTCTTTCCTCCCCATCCCTTTCTCCTTTTATGTTTTGTCTTTTAAAGACTGAGTCTGCAGGAAGGAACCTTTCATCTCAGGCCAGCTGTTCATCTCAGGAGAGGCAAAAGTTGCTTCAAGCATCTTTTCAGAGGAAAAGGTGGATCGCCCATCCTTTGTCCTTTCTGTTGTACTTCTTGCAACCCTGCTGCTGCATATCTCCAGTTTGTCAGACTTGTAATTAGATCTGGTGGCAGTTTTTCTAAAAGGAACATTCATATTGTGCTCCCACTTGGCTGCCTTGCAAAATTCTGGGTGCCTTGAGCAACATATGTTTTTTTCTTCCTCCTCTTGAGGTACCAACATCATCATCAGAGACAAACAGCTCTTTCACAATGTTGGCATGAAAAAGTCAAGGTGGACATACCACAGGCTCTTTGTTTTGACTATATGGCCCTCTATGCTTGCTTCAGAGAATACAGACAGAATGGCTATGAAGGGTATTGTCCCTCTGTATACTTCTACTTCGGAAACAATGTTAATTCATCTCATTTCCTTGTATGCCAAGGCATTTTCTGTGTATGACATTTTGCTTTAAACACCTGCACTAAGAATTCTTAAAGAGGCAGTCAATGGGGTGTGGTGGAAAATCCAAACAGATGCAACTTTCTTCTTCTTCTTCTTTGAAATTTGAAAGACATGATAAACTCTGAAGGATGGGAGTAAACCTGAGAAATCTAAGTCTACTAGCTTCAAGGCTTTCCATATTAGCCACCTTTAAAGTTTGCTTTTCTTCAAAACAAACAAACAAGCAAACCCTGGTACAGCAAAAGCCATGTGTGCGTCTGATTTGTTTTGTGCTCTGGATTGGAATCGGTTTGCAATCCCCATCACCCCGGACCTGTTCAGTCTTGATCAGCAGGGCCTGCAAATCAACCGTCATCCAGTGCACAGCCCCTCTTTCCATGCGATGCCAAGAAATACTTGCAACAAATACCAAAAGAGTCGGGGCCCTGAATTACAGATCACAGGATCCATCCCTGGCCCTTGCCAAGCACCCTTTGAGAAGTTTCACCTTTGGGGGAGGGGGAGGGGAAAGACTGCATTGTTCTGGTCAAGTCACTGGTGACACTTAGAGGGGCAGACCTGGAAATTTCTTCTGCGGCTATTTGTAGTGGCTGCTGCCAGGTATTAATTAAAGAGAGGCCACCTCAAACTCCCACCAGGGTGACCTCTCTCGATCATTTATTGTTTCCACCAGCCCCAAATCGGGACAGCCACTTCTTTTCCAGTTTTGGGGGGTATACATGTGTGTGCATGTGGGCTTTTTTACACCCGTATGCCCCCCCCCCATCTCTTGGCCATAAAAGAAAGGCAGGGAAGGAATATAGCACTTATTTCGCAGATCCAAGGCAGGAGGGCAGGCCTAAGAAACCCAGCTAGATTTTTAATGTCAACATTGACTAGCAGAAGTGAGTCCAGCATTTTGGGTAGGATCCTTTTCCAGTTCTA